TTGGACCTCTGACTACCTGTTTAACTGTCTGCATGACCTGCTCCCCTGCAGTTTCTGCTATTTTATAGTGCAAAGCACTTTGACTCTGTTAACACAGACTCTTAACCACTCCCACTCTCTGTCTCTATTTTTCTTTGTTTTCTTTATTTTTCTGTTTTACTTTTTAATGTCTAAAAAATTTTGAGATAATATATTTTTAAAAATTTGGTTATTTATTTGAAAGGTGGATTTATACAGAGGAAGGGAGTGAGGGAGGGAGAGAAAGATCCAGAGAGATCTGTCAGCTGGTTCACTACCCAAATGATGGCAATGGCCTGGGCCAGGCCAAAGCCAGGAGACTGGAACCTCATCCAGGTTTCCCATGTGGGTGCAGGGGCCCAGGCTCTTAGGCCATCTTCCACTGCTTTCTTAGACGCATTGGGCAGAGAGCTAGATGGGAAGTGGAGCAGCTGGGACTTGAACCTGCTGCACCACAACACTGGTCCCAGAGATAACACATTTTTAATTTACATTGTAGTCAAAGGCTTAATTATCCACTAAATAAAGAGTTGAGGGGCCGGTGCTCTGGCGCAGCGTGTTAAAGCCCTGGCCTGAAGCGCCAGCATCCTGTGTGGGCGTCAGTTCAAATCCTGGCTGCTCCTCTTCTGATCCAGCTCTCTGCTGTGGCCTGGGAAAGCAGTGGAAGATGGCCCAAGTCCTTGGGTCCCAGCACCCACTTTGGGGGCCTGGAGGAAGCTCCTCGTTCCTGGCTTCGGATCGGCGCAGCTCCGGCCATTGTGGCCATCTGGGTAATTAATCAGCAGATGGAAGACTTCTCTCTCTGTCTCTACCTCTCTCTGTATATCTGTCTATCAAATAAATAAAATAAATATTTAAAAAAAGAGTTGAACAATTAAAAAGTAAAATGATCATAGTTCAGCAGGAATATAGGCGAGGGCTATAAACAGTAATCAAATAAAGAGATATCATTTAATTCATATACTGTAAATTTTAAAATAATCACAGATGTTTAAAATTATGATGGTATATCATTCTTAACAATTTGTTTGACAAAACTGTAAAATGAAGTTTGACAAAACTCTGTTTGCAGCAATACTGCTGTAATATTCACTTCTTTTTTGTGTTTTGCTTTGTTGATTTTTTAAACATTTGGCTGGTCCCACCCTCAGGTAGCAGGCCCAACCATGCTCCCTGAGTCCTTTGAGGCTGCTGTAACAAAATATCCTGGATGGAGTAAAGTCATCAACAGTGGAGTTTACTGCTTACAGCCCTGAAGGTTGAGAAGTTCAAGATCAAGGCACCTGCAGGTGCAGTCTGGTGAGGACCCACTGCTCATAGGCGGTGCCTTCTGTGTGTCCTCAGATGCCAGAGAGTATGAACGTGCTCCCTAGAGCCTCTTCCAAGAGGGTGCTAATCCCATTCTTGAGAGTGGAGCCCCATGAGCTAAGCACCCTATTGGCCTCGCCTCCTAGTGCCATGGCATTGGAGATTAGGTTTCAGGATAGGAATTTGGGTGGGGCATAGACATTTAGTCCATAGCACTTGGTGAGGGCCAGCTCTTCCGGGTTTCCAAATACAGCAAAAAAAGGAACGTGAAGAAAACTTTGACATCTCAGGCTTTCTTGGTGGTGTTTTGATCATGTTCTCCACCACATCTGTCAGTAGAACCTCCACTCCCATTATCCAGGTCTGGGTACAGAGAAGGGGTTTGTCCCTTTGCAGCTGTGGCTGAGCTGGTATAGCGTTGCAAGGGTCTGTGGGCACAGGAAGGAGCACAGGATGGCTCCTGTTTATTGGGCAGAATCTGTTTGGACCTTGTCTGAGCCCACTTAGGCTGCTGTAACAGAAGGGCCCTCTCATAGTTCTGGAGGCTGGGAAGTCGAAGCTCAAGGCATCACAGGTTCATTGCAATGGGGGGAGGGGGCTCACCCTCTAGCACAAGTAGATAGTGCATTTTCTTTGTGTCCTCCTGTGCTGGAAGGGTCTTTTTGATGACATTAACTCCAATCATGAGGATTCTTACTCCATGTCCAAATCACTCCCTGAAGCCTCACCCCTTTGTACCAATACCTTGGGGGTTAGGATTTAAATATAAATTTTTGAGAACAAAATGGGGAACAGTAGAAGCCCTAGAATTAAATCCAACTTATCTTTGACAGATGTACTAAAAACCTTCCCAGGGGGAAGGGCAGACTCTTCAGTAAATGGTGTTGACAAGACTGAATTTCCCCAATGCAGAAGCAAGATCCCTACTTTACACCCTATAAAAAAATCAACCTAAAATGAATCCAGGGTCTAAATGTAACATGCAAACTGTCAAACTCATAGAGGAAAACGTAGGAGAAACACTCTAAGACATTGGCATGGACAATGAATTTTTGGATAAGACACCAAAAGAACAGGCAGTAAAGACAAAAGTACACAAATAGGACTACATCAAACTAAGAAATGGGTGTATGGTTAAGGAAACAATTAGAGTGAAGAGACAATTGACATAATGGCAGAAAATGTTTGCAAACTATGCAGTTGATAAAGGATTAATATCCATATTATATAAGGAGGTCAAGAAATCCAACACCAACAAAGCAAACAATCCGGTTAAGAAATGGGAAATAGTTGAATAGACATTTTTCAAAAGAAGAAATACAAGTGACCAATGGACACATGAAAAAATGCTCAGTATTGCTAGCCACTATAGAAATGCAAATTAGAAAACTACAATGAGGTATCATTTCATTCCAGTTAGAATGGCTATTTTCCAAAAGTCAGAAAGTAATAAATGCTGGCAAGCATGCAGAGAAAAGGGAAACCTAATTCTCTGTTGGTAGGAATGCAGATTAATATGGCAAACAGTATGGACATTCCTCAAAAAACTAAAAATAGATGTACCACATGACCCAGCTCTCCCAGTGCTGGGAATATATCCAAAGCAAATGAAGCCAGCATGTGAAAGGGAAAGCTGAACTCCCATGGTTATCACAGCCCAATTCACATAGTGAAGATATGCAATCAAACTAGATGTCCATCAACTGATGACAGGGCAAAGAAAATGTGGTATATGTACATGTGATGGAATATTTCTCGGCCATAAAGCAGAATGAGCCTTTACAAATGACCTTTACAAAACAAAAACAAAAAAAAGGGTGGAACTGGAGATCATTATGCTGAGTGAAACAAGCCAGACACAGAAAGACAACTTCCATGTATCTTTTCTCCTATGTGGAAGTATATGCACGTATAAATGAAGTTTATATCGTATATATACACACATAAAAATGTGTGCATGCTATATTATTGGCAATTGGATATATACTTGTTGTCTTCAGTGAATCATTTCCCCTGCATAATAATATCCCCTACTGTCCTCACTTCATGATCATTGTCATGAATCCCACGTTGCCTAATGATCTCCTGTATATATTTATCTGTGAAGCAAATATGAAGAAAATCATCAAAGCTGTGTGTACTCACAACTCTTCTTCATGCTTTGCTGTATTATTTGAAATAGTTTCTTTAAAAATAAAAGAGGCAACTAAAACCCCACCCCAGGCAAACATCCAGTCTCTTGCAAACATGGTTCTCTGTGTGACCAGGAACTTGCGGTGTTTAAAGGAGGTGGGAGAGTCGCGATGAGGTCTGTGAGCTTCTAGGAGATAAGAAGAGGCCAGTGGGAAAGATGGACTGGGGAGCGTGAAACCAGGGCCTAGCAGCCTGGCCAGGGGGCTGCTGTAGATCTCAGGCCCAGTGCTGCCCCCTGCCTTTGTGCATCCCTGAGTGCTGTCCTTCTGCTTTCTGCCCTTGGAGATGTTCCATCCCTTAAAGCCCTTACAATTCTCTGCCTTTACTTCCCCTTCACCATCCAGAATGTAGTGGATTGCTGTTTCTCTGGAGAGATCAGCAGTTCCTAACTGGAGCTTTTATTCTCTCTCTCTCACTGTCACCTTGAAGGGACTTGGAGCCCATAGCAGGTGCACAGTGGATCTTTGTCCAAATCAAATGGACACAAGGGGGTGAGTGTTCTGCCGAGTGGCACTTGCGATGCTTGCAGCCTGTATCGGAGTGCCTGCATTCCAGCCTGGCTCCGTTCTAAGTTCCAGCCTCCTGCTGATGTCCTGCTGGGAGGCAACAAGTGAGAGTGGAAGTAGTTGGGTCCCTGCTACCCGTACGGGAGACTCAGATTGAGTTCCTGGTTCCCAGTTTCGGCCCCACTCAGGGGCTCTTGTGGGAGTTTGGGGGAGTGAGCCAGGGAAGGGGAACTCTGTCTCTCTCTTTGCTTTATCAAATGAATAAAAATTATTTAAAAGTGGATTTCTTTAAAAAAAATCAAATGGACGTGACTTACTATTGAATAATGGGTGACTGAGTATTAAAGGGAGGGGCTTTAAGCACTGTCAACAGGTGCGTGACTTTCTCATTCCTTACAAATTTGTGAAAAATGGTTTCCAGACTGTTTTTATAGGGAAGGAGGTGTACATTGAGAACACTTGGCTTTTCATAGTTACTTCACTTCATCCTCACGGCGATTCCAGAAGGCGGCTGTCTCCCTCTGAGGCACAGGGGAGGAGACTGAGGCACAGAGGCGTGGAGCACCTGGCCCCATGCCACACAGCTTTGTGGGTCTGCTTTTGCCTGGTGCTCTCTCTGCTGCCTCGCAGCGTCCCTCCATGTGGCTGGAAGCAATTACGGAGGCGTGCCCTGGCATTCATTCTTCCTACTTGCAAGGGGATGCGGCTGTTTACTTTCCGAGGAAGGAAGATTGAAATCAATGTAACTAGCCTTATTAAGTTTTTAAAATAGGGGGACCTACAGACGCCGGCACCTGTCCTGAGTGCGCCAAAGCAAATATAAAAATCCAATTTGCTTGCTTCTTTTCTGTTGTTGTTGTTGAATCTTCTCCAGAGTTTACAATTCAAAGCTGTAAATGAAGAGCCAATGAGACAGGGGTAACGAAGCAAAGCTGAGACACGGGATGTATTTACCCATATCTCTTTTGTCTGCAGGCGGCTGTTCCTTTGATGAGCACTACAGCAACTGTGGTTATAGCGTGGCCCTGGGGACCAATGGGTTCACCTGGGAGCAGATTAACACATGGGAGAAGCCTATGCTGGACCCAGCAGTGCCCACAGGTATGTGGCCATCATGTTTGGGACTGTGATGGGGATGCTTAGCTTTCAGTATGACTCAGGGGAAGAAGTTCCTTACAGATGGAACTGTGTGGGAATGAATTGGATTAGTGAGTGCCCCATCCTCAGAAGTATTCAGACAAGATTTCATGGTGTGGTAGGAGTCACGAGTCACCTGGATTCATAGACCTTAAGGATTTCTTTGATATTTGTGATTCCAAGCTTTAGCTACAAGTTGGACATTACTGGGTTTTGCTTGCGGGGTTGATCTGATGGTGGTGGGATTTTAGGGAAGAAAGAGCTTCTGAAGAATGAGGTCATTCATTTTCTTCCAGTCCACATGGACACAGGTTATTTATATGTAGGGAAACTTCCACATCTGGGTATGACTCATAAAGTTAATACCCTCACGTCCTGAATAGCAGCCTTAGTCTTAGCCTTCACTGAAGTCCTATTAGAAATTCTCAACAGATGCTTGTGCAAGGCAGAGCTGTGAGAGGTACACCTGATGTCTTCCAGAGGAGGTGCTTGGAGGAGCACACACGTGGCGTGGAGTGTGCTTGAGCAGGGTGAATCTTGAAGAGGCCTACTTGGCGATACAGGCCAGGAAGGACTGGAACTCTGTCAAAGATCAGATCACATCTCGGGTTATTGTGTCCCCTGGAGCAGGTGTAAAGACTGTTGGTTGTTGGAGAAGGGAGGCTGTTCTCATCCATGTGTCCTGCCTGACCAAGGGCTCCCTCTACCCCACTCACCATTAACGTTTCTACCAACCCTTCCCAGTGCTCTTTCTCAGTCTTTTATCAGACCATTGGACATTAAGTGTTGGAGTTCTTCAGGCTTACTGTCTACTGTTGCCATGGATGGCCTCAATAACTCTATGGTTTATGGTACCCATATGCTGGTGATACCAACCTTGTACCTGCAGCCTAGACATCTCTTATGGACCTCAGGCCTACACAACTCATTGCTGCTGTCTTCATGGCTTTCTCTGGGGAAAGAGTTTTTCAGGGTGCCCCTAACAAGAGTCAGAGAAGTGAGGATGTGTTCTCGCTGACTTTGACTTTGGTGTCAAAACGGGCGTCCACGGGATGGTCCTAGAGACTTCAAGGGTATGCATTGTGTAAGGTCCTCCTGAGCGTTGATATAAGACTTAGGTATAACAAAGTTGTGCTGTGGTACAGCACTGAACATTGAAAATCTAGCAGATCTTTCAGTGAGGATGGCCTTGAACAGCTCCATGTGCCCTGCAGTAAGGCGGCATGGGACAGCTTCCATGTCTGCTGGTCCATTAACCTCTTTTAATGATGCTGGCTTTACTCTCAAAAGTGTCCTGGTGTAGATGACGGACTCACCCATCCTGTATGGAGCCCAAGAGTCCAAGACACTCGTGTTTCAGCAGAACACATCTACTCTGCCCTGAATGACCGTGTTGGATGTTAGCTGAGTGACTATAGATCTTCTAGTGTGTATATGCATGTGAGTGCACACGTGTGTGTGTGTGTGTGTGTGTGTGTGTACTTATTTGGCTGAACTTTAGCCCACCGGACACCCTACAGGATCTTACAGGTTCTCCAGACTTAACATCTCCAGAACTGAACTCTTGGTGATGCATTTCACAGTTAGCCTTGTCACAGAATAGGCCAAGTCATCCACTCTGGCACTTACACAGAGCCCCAGGGGTCGTCACCTTGTTCTGCCATTTCACCTCCTACCTCCTGAGAGCGTCTCGAGTCCTCCCACTGCCAGTGCCCTGGTTCAGACTGGTGCTCTCTGGGTGGTACTCTCTAACTTGCTGTTGATCTTACTCTCTGGACCTTAGCCCATCCTCCACTCAGAAAACAGGTTATTTTAGAATATAGGCCTGTTCCTGCAACCTCTTTGCTTCCTTGCCTCTCCCCAGATTCTGTGTAAGAGTCCTTCTAAGGCTTCCTGTTGCTCTGAGAAAGAAAACTAAAGTCCTCGGGGCTGGAACTGTGGCGTAGTGGGTAAAACCACCATCTGCAGTGCCAGCATCCCATATGGGTGCTGGTTCAATTCTTGGCTGCTCCACTTCCAATCCAGCTCTCTGCTATGGCCTGGGAAAGCAGTAGAAGATGGCCCAAGTCCTTGGGCCCCTGCACCTGCATGGAAAGACCTGGAGGAAGCTCCTGGCTCCTAGCTTCATTGTGACCAACTGGGGACTGAACCAGCGAATGGAAGACCTCTCTCTCTCTCTCTCTCTCTCCCTCTCCCTCTCCCTCTCCCTCTCTCTCCCCCTCTCTCTCTCCCTCTCTCCCTCTCTCCCTCTCTTTCTCTCTTCTATGTAACTCTGACTTTCAAATAAATAAATCTTAAAAAAAAAGACCAAAGTCCTGCTATGGCCTCCAAGGCCACTGATGGCTGATGTTCCCTGAACCTGTGTCCCCCATGCTCACGTCCGCTGAGTTCTGTTAGACGCGGGGATGTGCTGCCTCTCTCCTGCCTGAGCTCTGCACTCCCCCTGGCTCCTTTCTCACCACTCCCTCTTGTGCTTCCTCTTCCTGTCTCAGACTGAGCCAGCTGTCTCTGTAACGGTTCCCATTGCACCCTGTGCCTCTCCTCAACAACAGGCGTCAAGCTCCTGCTCTGTGTTTGTTGCATGTTTTTCCCTTCAGATAACGAGTCCCTTGTGAAGACCGACCCTGACAATCTGGTTTACAACTTCATCTGCAGTACCTACCACAGTGCACTGTGCGTGGTGTGTACTAAGTCACATTCTGTCGGGTGGATTCCAATGCTCTTTACCGGCATTTCTCAAGAAGGGAATGATACATATTGTGAAAGCTCTTTCTTGCTGCTTCTAAATGGCCACTTATTTTCAAGTAAGGGAAACCAGGGTATGATGGCATGCTCTTGTCCTTGCTCCTGTCCTTCCCATCTCACAGGTGGGGAACTCAGCATCCCAGGAAACAGAATGAGACTGTTGCCTCCCCCATGCCCCATTCTCTTCCCAAACACAACTCAGCATCCCAGGAAACGGATTGAGACTGTGCCTCCCCCACGCCCCATTCTCTTCCCAATCACAACTCAGCATCCCAGGAAATGCAATGAGACTGTTGCCTTCCCCACGCCCCATTCTCTTCCCAAACACAACTCTCGCTTCTGGATTTTCTCAGCCCCTCATTATGGCACAGAGTCATTTCGTAACTACTGGATTATGCGAGTACAATCTTCTGAGCTTTTTTAAGTAGAGCCGTTTGATAATGATCACTGACATTATTCCGTCGTGATGCACCTGTGGCTTTCCGTGGCTCTTTGTGCTTCTTAGGCAGAAAGGCATGAAAATGAGTTTAGATTAGGCGAAACTGTCCTGTCACGGGCAGAGGCCAAGTGCTGCCTCTCTCCACGAGGCCAGACCTGGCGAGGGTCTGTTTATTCACATGTTCCACGGCCTCTTGCCAATCCCCTTCCTCGTGACCAGCCCTGCGCTGGGCTTGGTCTAAGTCAGACCTTGTCATTTTGTCACTTCGCCCCTCTGGCAGCCTTGCCTGGCATGCAGGGTAAAATCTGAACTTGCATGACCTCATATCTTCTGTGAGCCTTTTATCTCCTCTCTCAACATGCTTCAGACACACTGGTCATTTTCCAGCTCTTATTCATTTCAGATTCAATCCTGCCTCAGGACCTTGCCACGTGCTGGTCCCTCTTTGGAACTGTTTTCTCCTTGTTTCATTTTGGCCTGTTCTTCAGGCCTCAGTTTGCACACTGCTTCCCGCCATCTCCCCTCATCTGCCTACAGAGGGACCCCTCACCTTCTTCCTCGTTTTTGAAGTCTTTCTTGTCATTATATTTACATGTCAGCTCATTCCAATGCTGCACCATGGTTCAGCGATGCAGAGTGCTCAATCCCTCAACCTCGGGTTTCTCATCGCTAACATAGGAACCAGCGTGAGAATGAAGTGGAAGAGGCCTGTGTGAGTGTGGACTGCACACAGAGCAGGACTCCGTGCCAGTTGCCCTGTGTTCTTTTCAGTCATCCACATGTCAAAGATGGTCATCCTGGAACTTTTCCCATGAGTTGATGACTGGGGCAATGGTTCGTGCATTCTGAAGCCCTGAACACAGGTTAAGACCTGGTGAGTGCACCAGCATAGCCCTTAGCTTAGCTACTGGATGAGGCCTTCGGGGCTGTAGCAGGAAATTGTGTTTGAGATAGAATCGGCCAGAATGGTGCACGTGTTGGCCAATCAGGTAGACAGCTTCAAAAGCAGTGCGGGCTCCTGAGTGCTGAGTGGATGCAGGACTGCACTGCACACTGTTAAGCAGGAATGCAATTTATTTGCATCTGTGAACATGGTTTGAGGACTGACTAGATAGCTGTCAATAATTGTTAAATGCATCGCTCTGCTTATGAATTGAGGTTTCTCATGGTACGACCCCCACATCTGTCTCCAGCCTCAGCATCTTCTTCTGTCCTTTCTTCTTCTCTTTCCCTTTCTGTGTAACTGCACGAGAAAAGCCTTTGGGAGTCTGAGCTGCAAGCCAGCTTCCCCATTGTGGAATCTCTCATTGTGTGGATCTGGATGGAATGTGGAGCTCCCTGAAGGGTGAAGGTGCCCTGCACTCACCACTTCCTGGCAGCTTTGGGCGTGGCTGGAGGCAGCCAGCTGCACCTTGCTTGTTGGTCCGCCAGGACTGCTTTCCTCTCTGCTTATTGCTCAAGCCTGGTTCTCCAGCTCCCTGCTCATGATGGGCTTCCCAGTACTCTTCCAGGGCAGTCCTTTCTGGGGGACAGATAGCCATCTCTCTGTTGCAAACAACCAGCTCTGAGGGTCCCATGACCATGTCTTTGCACCTGCTGACCCTCAGGCTGGAGCAGACCTCCTGACCGCTTTCTGCTGTATCAGATCTCTGCACAGATGCCGCCTCCTTGGAAGGTCTTCCTGAAGTACTCGGAACTTCTCTTTTCGAGTTTGTCACAGCAGGGTGGTTTCTGATTCCCCACGGAGCCTGAGCTGATTCGTGTGTCAGGTGTGGGAGGT